AAATTCAAAAAAGAAGTATTAATAAAGCTTCCATTAAATGAATAAGTTAAATGATGATATCCCAATAACCAGAAGTGAAATTAAAAATTGATAAAATAACAAACATTTCTAAAATGATGATTATAGTTTTAATACAACATTGATTTAAATGAAACACACAACTTTCACTAATTTTAATAATCTAATTTTTACAATTAACTCTGACTAACAAATTGTTTAATCAATCATACTTTTATTTAGTTCAACAAATATTAATTCAACAGAATGGTGTATCTTATATTTGATACATTTTATTTATTAAAAAAATATAAATAATTCGAATGGCATGAAATAGAATGTAATGAATATATCATTGAATTTGAATCTTTTGAATTTCTATCTATTATTTTAAAATTTTATTCTCTATTAAAATTGGTGTATTTTCTTGTTTGATAAATTGTGTTGTGTATTAATAATTATATCAAAAAACTGTTATATCAATTATTTTAAATAGACAATATTTATTTAATATTATTCTATTTATTTTCATTTAATTAACACAATTAACAAATTGTCATTATATATCCTATATCCAGTATTGTATTAAACTAATTTAAAACATGTTATTCGATATTTATTGTTCTGAATTTAAATAAACATCTAACAAAGAGTCATCATTCAAAAATAAGAATAAATCTAAAGCAAGATAATAATGGAATAAAAATACTAACAGAAAGAAATTGTAAGAAAAAGAAGTAAAAATAACACTAAAATGAATAACTGGCATAAATATTGAAATAAACTCAATTATAATTATTCATCTCTTATTTCATTTTGTTCAATTATTCAATTTCTTATTATAATTACTAAAACAATGTTTTAATTAAAATCAACTATTGAACTTCAACTTATCTTAATAATGAAATAATATTTGTTAAACAACAATTAAAATAAAAAAGAAAATGAACATGTGTCATTCATATTAAAAGTAAGTATTAAAAAAAATAAAATGAACAATGATAGAATAAATGATAGAGATAAAAGAAATTATTTGAATGAAGTTAGTAATAATAAGAAGGATATATAATGATAAAGTGATAGAGTTAAAATACTTTAATTTATTTAATAAAGACAATAATGTAAATAAAATCAGAGTATATTCAAAATAAATAATAGTTGTGTTAATGTGTATTGACAGTTTGTTATATAAATAAAATGAATTAAACAAATAATAAAAATCTAATGTTTTTAATGATAAAATGAAAGTTACAGATAAACTAAGTTTAAAATGCAAAAAAGATGAAATGAAAATAATACCATCAATAATTTACATTAAATATGATATAATCTTGTATGAAAATATTGATATAAATGAATATTTAAAAGAATAAATGAAAGTAATTGAATAAGTAACTACACATGATGAGAAGAATATGAAAAGTCGAAAATAAAGCATTAAAAAGAGAATAAAAGATATGTAAACAAGAAAGTAAATTATCAACAACAATAAGAAATATTGAGAAATAAAGGAAAATAGAAAGAGCAACAATTTTATGTTAAACGAATAAATGAAATGAGAATAGAAAATTCAACAAAATGAGAATGATTAAATAAAGTACACATCAAATAGAATGTCATGCACTAGAAAAATAAATTCAAAAGAATATAAAAAAAAAGAAAAATAATTTATCATCATATACATTGAAGAAATAACAAATAGAAATATTAAAATAGAAATAAATAAGATATAAATGAGCATAGTAAAGAGTATATTAGAAGAAATTCAAGAGAAATAAATAATAATAAGTAAGAAAGTTAAAGAAAGAGAATAAAGAATAAATAAAAAGAAACAAATGATTATGTGAATATAAATAAAATAAGTATTAAAACAATAGTATAAATGATAGAAAATGAAGAAGAAAAAGAAATGGTAATAAATAACAAAAAATACTCTATAATAATAAAGTCAATAAAGAAAATTGTGATAAAATAACAATTTCAATGTACTTTTATGATTTTTATTGATTTCGAAATTGAAACAAAAACATTTCAATGAAATATGAATAATATCATTTTAGTTAATTTCAATTAATTCATTGTTTAATAATATTATGTAATAATGTTGAATCATTTCATATTTAAAATGAATAATATAAATAATTGAATATAGATGAATAAATATGTAATATAGTATTTCGTAAATCATTTAATATAATTAACAAAGAAATAAAAAAAGAAATAAATGTAAAAATATGAAAGAGTCTTGAAATAAAATACCATCAATAATTACTGTAATAGAGAATGATGCTTTAGTATGAACTATAAATCATATTCAAACATTTTTATTATAATATTTTATAATTTGTTTAAATAATGTATTTTAATAATTAATATCAATATACAAGTATCAATTACATCATTTATGAAATTTTGCTTTTTAACTTTGTTTGTGGTTAAGCGTTAAAAATATGAAAATCAAAGAGAGTATTTTGAGAAATAGAAGTAATAAACTACCAGAATTAAAAAAAAGTGAACATTTAAAAATGAACAATATATATTAATTATCATATAATATTCTTTTTATATTTTTGTACTATTTCACTTTCATTGAAAGATATGAAAATGAATAATAAAAGAGAATATGTTAATAATGAATAATATGGAAGTGAAAAATAAATGAATTTCTGTTCATGAATTATTATCATATATCAATTTGTATTTTAAATGTTATATAACAAAATAATAAATAAAATGTTTATTATAATCATCAAATCATCATTTTATTCATTTAGAATTAAAACATAACTAATAATAAAGATAGTATAATAATAAGAATGAGAGATAAAATAAACAAAGATTAGTTAATCTGATTTAATATTAAACATTAAAATAAATAAGTAATATATAAATTATCAACAACAATATAAAATAGCAATAATATAAAACATAATAAAAAATACTTTTTAATGAATAAATTATTAATACCTTCTCATTTCAACACATTACTTAATTAATTGTTGCATTTCAGCTTAATTAATTATTTTATGTATTATTTTCAATGATTTATTATTATTCTTTATATTTTCACATATTATTTACAATTCAACATATTTCATTTAGTGTTAAGTATTAATTTTTGTTATCTTTATTTGAACACGTAACAAACACATAAACATTGCTAACTATATACAAATTATTATACAAAACTCATGTTAAGTGGTTTTTCTTATTAGTTATTATTTTATTATTTGTATTTCTGGTAGTGATAAAACAACAAATAAACAATAAATAAAATTCAAATAAACAAACGACAAAATAAATAAAATGGAAAATAATAATAGATGAAAAAGAATAACATAAATAAAAAGAATAATAAGAAAGTATGGTATAAAGAAAAATACACATAGAAAGAATGAATTTATGAATGTTGTTTTCTAAAAAAATAGACATTATACTTGCAATTAGAGATAAAACTCATATTTAAAATCAATATTTAATGAACAAAATCATAAAGCAATACTAAAATACACACTAGAAAACACAAATAAGATATTAATAATAATATATCATCATATTCATGATTTATTTTTAATTAAGAATTTGAACAAATAAGATTCTTATTTCTCTTAAAAAATAATTTTCATTAACAGAAAATATAGTAAAATGAATGTAATTAAGAATGAGTTATATTTTTAATGTTCTGATATTCATTTGTTTTATTTTCATTTATTTTTTTATAACTTACAATAAGATGATGAAACAAATCATTACCATTGTTTTGATGTTGTACTGATTAAAGTTTTATACTTTTTGGATAAAATATTGGAAATTACTTAATGAATCGTCATTATTTATTTAATAAAATAAGTCAATGGTCAATTAGAAGAATATTCAATGAAATTATTCATAAAATTATTGTCTTTTTTTACATAAACATTTGTAACATAACATTGTATTTGTTTTAATTCATTACCATTGAAATATTATTTCAAAGTATCATATTTCTGATTTGTTCACTATTTATAAATTAAAAGAATGAAAGGGATATAAACAAATATCATCATTGATTTAAATATTCTCTTTAATTATTTTACCACTTCTATTATCTCTTCATTTGACACTTATGTTTGTGAATTTCTCATTAAATCATTATTATTTTATACATACTTATTGAATAATTTTCTCACATTTAAAATATCATTAATTTATTACTCTAAATCACATTCTTAATTTAAAATCCGAAGAGGGTGTAGCTATTTAAACAGTGATTAGACTTGGGTGTTTATAGAAACTACAGCATCAAAGATTGATTATTCTGTAATAACATTCAATAACTTGTTATTTTGAAGACTAACATTATTAGAGTATTGAAATAAAATACTATTTGAATGAAATACGATTGAATTAGGATTTTAATTCTTCTTCAATATTTATTCAGCTTCATTAACATGACATACAAAATTAACTTGTTGATAAACTCTCACTTTCATCTTCCCTTGTCTCATAGTCATAACATTACTCTTTTGACATATTGAAAATAAACAACCAACCATCCCAGATATTTTTTATTAACTAACTTATTTTATAATACACTGCAATATGTTGTTGTTAAAGCCACAGTTATTTTATTAATTCTAACATTTGTTTCTGAGTTATCTTCATTGCATTGATTCGTTCTATCCGTTTTATCTTCCTTCAGTTTTATTAATTTATCTTCGCAATATCCTTTCATTTATTCATCCTTTTAAGAATTATGAAACTTGGAACATCATACCATTTTCTAATTCTTTAGATATTTTATTACCTTTCTATTCCTCCAGATGGTTGTAGATTTGTGTTGAAGAAATAAAAGAATAGAACAACCAAATCCATCTTTTTTCAATACTTTCTTTCATTTATTCTCATTGTGTTGACATTAATTAACCATTCTAATGACACAACTGATATGGCAATAACATTAATAATCAGTTAAATGAACTAACAAACGTGAAAGTAATGAATCTCTTCTATCCATCATTGAAAGAGGTTGTGTTTCATTATTTCTGTTATCATCTTGAAAAACATCTTCAACCAATATTTGATCAAACACTGGGTTGTTTGTAGAAAGACAGATAAGATCCCACAATAACCTCAATGTGATCTTTCCAACCCAATTCTTTCTTACTCCATCTATTTTATCAACAAGTCTTCCTTCTCCAACAACCCCTTGAAGAACTTCATGAAGCTCTTGAACAATGGTTGCTCTTGTTGCTGGAGATAATAATGATTGTGAAATAAAAACTAACGAATGTTCAAAAGCAATAACTGACATGATAGAATGTGGTGGAGGTGTTGAATATTCAGGACAGACTGACAACATTGCAGACACTGATGCCTGGATGTATTGTACAAGAACTGAATCAGATCGTCCACCAAGAACATTGAGACTCATTTGATAAATTGAGTAAAGATCATTTGGTTTGAATTGTGGGAGACAAGCAACAAGAACCCTTATGTATTTCAATGGGTTTTGATTAAATTTTAGTTTAATTTGATTCAAAACATCTTCTTTCATGAAATGGAATGAGTGCGTTTCTACATAATGTGTTGAATGGTTTATATGAAGGGTTATTGGATTGTCTAATGCAAAAGTGATAAAATAGAATGGGTGGAGAAGACATGACAAAACTAATTCTGTTTCTTCTGCTTCTAAGAGTCGTTGAATAAATGAATCTTTCAAATAATTAGAAATTGGTAATAATGATTGTAATGAAACAAGAGATTGTAATGCTTGTTTATTTGAATTGACTGGAGGTGTTTGATTTCCCCATAATTCATCTTGTAGAATTTTAGAAAAGTCAGTGTCAAATAAAATATGATTTTTTGGAATAGTTGGAATGAACTTTAAGAGAAACTCATGATGTAAATAAGCAACAATACTATGTGGTTGTTTTTTAGTGATGTATAACATTAGTTGACCATTATGATCTTTATTTCGTGCTGAATCTCTCAATGCAGGTAATCGTTTATCAAAGAAATGTTGTATTTTCCAAAAGTCAGTAATTGTTTGAATAGTGATATAACTTTTGGATGGAGTCTTCTTTGGTAATAATTCAGAAAGAATATCAAATAGTTCACCATAGTCATGAGGTAATTCTTTTCCAAGAATATTTTCTAAACATCTTCTATTTTCACATTTTAAACAACTATAAGTTATGGCTTCAATTAATGATATTGGCATTGGTTGAAAAATATCAAATAATGATTGATAGAACAATTCTGATAATTCTTGTTTTGAAGAAAGGAGTTGTAATGTTACTTCTATCCCTTTAAATTCTTTCAATGCTGGTGTATTTGTAGGTGTTTCT